TCAGTAAGTGAAAACTTAGCGAGTGAATGTTTCACACGTAGGTATGAGTAAGCGAGCATAGTAGAGAGTATGCCAGTGTTATTTTTAGAGGAATCAAATCTGACTGCAGAATCAAGAAAGACGTCATGATTTGTTATTTTTAGATGGTGACATGTATAATAAAGAATTTTAGCTGCGCTAATATAATAGTTTTAAAGTAGGTTGTAACATAAAATCTAATATTGTTTTAAAATAGATAATATTAATTATTAGAAGTAGTATAAATGAATAGTATCTTTAATAAATCATGTTTTAAATGCTAATCGATTGATTGTTAAATTAGATAGTATTTAGATTGCTTTATTTGTGATACGAAACAATATTGAACTATCTAGTTGCTGCCTAAAACCAAATTTGATTTTGACAGTAAAATATAGTTTTTCAATTTCACGAGTTTTAAATAATTTTTAATTAAGTCTATTTTGACAGTTGGTTTTAAACTGAAAAGCCAAAATAGTGCAATATGTATTTTATGAGATAAATTGATTTTACAAAAAGGTCAAATTTTGAAGTTTTAAAAGAAATAAAATATTTATCGGTTTTCGGACAATAAATGTTTTATAAGATATATGTGACATCTTTGACTCATATATGGTGATGTATACATGAAAGGTGTGTTACAAATTAAGATTTTGAATTATTTATTGTGTGTGAACAATTGAATATATATATAAAGTCATAAAATATAAAATTTAAATATAAAACTTTTTTCAAACTAAAATTTATGTTCAAATATAGATATTTTAATATTCGATACGAAAATTCAAATATCTAAAGAATCGAGTATTTGATTTGATAGATCAACTACAAATCATAATTTTAATAATTCAATTATATATATATATATATATATATATATTATAAAAATCTAGAAATGCACACCTTTAATAATTATGACATAAGGGGTTAGAAACTTCAAATTCTTTTAAAAGAAATTATTTAATTTTTAAATATATAATTGAATTATTATACTCCAAAATTTTATTAATTTATTTTTTATTAATTATAAGTGCTATGTTCAGTAGATTTTTATAGATTTATTGATGACACATTTGTACCATTTTTTACATAATATTTTAAAAGTTAATTTTTTAAAAATTAACCTTTTTAAAAATATATAATATCTTTAAGGAAAATTCTACAACGTTTGACGAGTATTGATGAGTACTACTAACGATTAGCACCATTAATTTAATTTATAAAACTTTAAAATTATAAATTCCGCAACATTTAATTATAAATTAGTTAAAAATCTAAACATAAAATAAAATATTAATTATATTATATTTTATAATCTTATTTTAAGTAATAACTAGATCAAATATAACCACTAAATTAAAAAACCGTAATTTTTTTTCTTTGATACAGTGACAGTTGTAGTGACAACGGCAATAACAGCAAAAGCAATAGCAATGATAGTAGTAGTAACGATGACAATACTAGCGACGACGAAGGCAATGGTAACGACGACATCACTAATAGTGACGATGATAACAAGAACGACAACGGCAATGATGGCTAAAACAAGTGCAAAAAAAAAAAGAATTTATGGTTTTTAATTTAAGAGTTAATATTTGATCTAATTATTATTAAAAATAAGATTATAAAAAATAATTTAATTAATATTTTATTTTAAATAATTTATTTTTAGATTTTTATCCAATTTATAATTATATGTTAAGTACTTTATAATTTTAAAGTTTTATAAATTAAATTAGGAAAATTCTACAATGCTCGATGAGTATTGATGAGCACCATTAATTTAATTTAAAAAATATATAAAATTATAAAATACTTAACGTATAATTATAAATTGGTTAAAAATCTAAACATAAATTATTTAAAATAAAAGGTAAAATATACCAATGACCACCTAACTATTGCCTCTTTTTATTTTAAACCACCATTTTTGAAATTTTATCAATCATGTCACTCAACTATTTAAAGCATTCAATTAAGCCACTTGCCGTTAATATATAATGGAAAAACTGACGTGGCAATTAAAATATTTGATATTATTACACATTTGGTCCATGTTGCTTATATATTCTATCAATTTGGTCCTGATTTTAATAAATTAAAATAAATTTAGTCCTCAAATCAAATGGTGCGAAAGTAGTCTTTATTCATCTTTTTCTTTCAATTTGTAGGAAAACAAACAATAAAGAAAAGAAAAGAAAAGAAAAGAAAACTTACAAAAAATTGATTTCATTTTTCAGAAATTTAAAAAAAAATATCAAATGCTTTGATTTAAAAAAAATACATCTATATTAAGTAAAATCAAAATTTAAACTCCTAAAAATTAGTCCAAAATAATTAAATTTTACTTATAATGCAATGAATTGGCATGTTTATTTTACTTTATTATTCGAAATAATAAAAGCAGATAAAAAGAAAATAAAAATTGTCCTCACTAGCATTAAATTGGATTCCTCTCCAATTAACTACTTTGGCATATTTTAGGGTTAAATTTATTTCAATTTATTAAAATTAGGAACAAATTGATAGAATATATATGTAACTATGATTAAATGTGAAATTATATCAAATATATTTTAACTGTCAAATTAGTTTTTCTTTAAATATTAGCAACAAGTGGTTTTATTAAATGCGTTTAAATAGTACTTGAGTGACATGATTGACGAAATTTTAAAAATGATTGTCAAAATAAAAAAGAGGAAATAGTTAGATGGTCACTAGTATAATTTACATTTTATTTTAAATAATTTACCTTTAAATTTTCAATTAATTTATAATTATACGTTGGCCCTTTTAGAATTTTAACGTCTTATAAATTATTTTATCGGTGCTCATCATTAGTGATGTTCATCGCCTCTCGTTGAGCTTGAAAAATATTCATTAAATTAATGATACTCATCATTATTAGTGTTTATCGGTGCTCGTCGAGCATGACAAAATCATCCTATCTTTAAATGATTTATACCCAAAAACTTCATCTATTTCTCCTTCAAAGAAACTTAGAAATCTCTTGATCTAAGGGATTCAAAATCCTTCTTTTTTTGTTTCTCATAAGTGAAAGATTTTCTGAATCCTTCTAAAAAAATTGACTAAACTCGAAAATTTGACTTGACTCGAAAAAATTTCAAATCAATTCCGAGTTATAAAATAGGACTCGACAACTCGAATAATTCAAAATTTTGTAACTTGACTCGATCAAACGTTGACCCTTAAATGTAAGTGTTGTGTATGTATGCTTTTGGGTGTGACAACACTACCCACAAGTAAAGTCGATGGAAACATGAAGTTATTAATTGGGTAAAATATAGTAATGGTCACTAAACTTTTCTAAAGCTTTCATTTAGGTCCCCAACTTTTAAAACTTGCAATACAATCTCCCAACATTTAGTCCGTTTTCAATATGGTCCCCCAACATTTAGTCTGTTTGCAATATGGTCCCCGACCATTTGACGCCGTTACACTGCCATTAGTATGTTTGCAATATGGTCACTGAAATTTTCAAGTGCTTGTATTTAGGTCCCCCAACTTTTAAAACTTGCAACACAGTCCTAAATTTCATTCTAAACCCCAAATTTATTTTCGATCTTGAATTTCCTTTTTCGCTTCTCTCTTCTCATTTCCAGCTTAACTTTTCAATCGGTGATGTATGGAAAATTCTAATCTAACTTTGAATTATGTGGAGGTGTTGACTTGAATAAGGGTCTATTGAGAGAATACCCGACCAAGGGACTATCAGGACCATCAACGATTCAAGGTGTAATGTTAGATACAGGTCATCTCAGGTGAAGCATAGATGTTCGATGAAATGCTTGTGAGAAAAAAATGGGGTTAGAAATGCAGAGTTGACAAATACTACTAAGATGAACTAAATATCATTGTTGAAAGTCACCAACAAAACTGGAATTATTTTGTATAAATGACATATAATAATTTTTTCATTTAATCCTTGTGCTTAAAAATTTTCCAATAGATGATCAAATATAATGAAATCCAAAACAGCGTATTCACCTCTCGTTTTGTTTTTGTTCTTCAATTTTCCGCCATGTAAAATTGTAAACCCAAGCAGTACTCTATCTTTCAGCTTTTTATTTACAAAGAAAAAATGGAGGAAGAATTTCTGGAACGCAACACCGATTGCGTTTATTTGTTAGCCTCTCCCCTCACTTGCAAGAAGGTATTTATTTTCTATTTTGGGCTATCCGGATGTAAGCTTTTCCTCTTTCGTATTTTCCTATTTTCAGCTCGCATTATGTGTTTTTTGTTGAAAGTTTTTTGTTTCTGGAACTGCATGTCAATGATATAGATATCCAGTGTTATTTTTAAACCAAAACCATCTAATTTTCTTTCTTTCTTCTTATTCAAAACTTTTAGTACTTCTTATGAAAGGTATTCAATCCATCAGAATAGAAGCGAAATAGGACTTGTAATCATTTAATTATTTCGAAAAAAAATAATATTAACTTACACACTTTAAGAGTTTCATATAAGAGTCTCGATTGACTTGACGGTGACCTTAGAGATCAGGATCGCCTGTGACGGAGGATCTCGAGAGGATTAAAAGCAAGTGGTGAGGATTTTTTTTTTAATTATATTAAAGTTGGTAAAATAACACTCCCGTATCATAATTAATATATCTAATATGCAAATAGGTATCCCAAACTATCATCCGTATAAATAAAACAAAGTTAATATTCAAGAATATATGAATATCGAACATAGACTACCACAAAATGTAAAATATTCGTATTTCAAATATAAATTCTACCTTACTTTACATCGTATTACCAGAAAACCAGAAGTGTGTACTTTCACGGCAGAGTGAAATTGCATCAGATCCTCGAAGGAAACGTTCATTTAGAAAAGAATGAGGGAAAGCTAACGAAGCAATCTTTTAGCCAAGACGAGCAGAATGCAAAATCGAAATTGAAGACATTACGATCACAACTTTCAAATTAGTATAACCGCCACGAAATTGAAGAAAGAGAGGAGGGACAGACCGTCTATGTAACTCTTAACGAACCTCTGAGTTCCACCGGTACTAGAGGGATGAGAGAATGCAGGACATCAGTTATGAGTGGCCTATAACTTGGTTCGGTTTGTATGTAAAGCACAACAACAACAGCAACCTGTTCAGAAAGATATTCAGTCAAACGGTCAGGGACCATATTGTAAACAAACTAAATGTTGGGGGACCATATTGCAAACGGACTAAATGTTGGGTGACTGTATTGCAAGTTTTAAAAGTTGAAGGATCTAAATGAAAGCTTTATAAAAGTTCAGTGACCATTACTATACTTTACCCTTATTAATTTCACACTGGTATGTACCTCTCTAGTATCAAATTTTCATTTGGCTTACCCTTTTTTTAAGGTTCAAACATTTCATTGAAGTTGATTTTGAAATATGATATTAGTAGACTTACAATAAATTTTTAAACAAGATCTAAATGTTTCAAGGAATAATGTTTTATTGAGATAGAATCGTCTTTTAGTTAGCTTTTCAACGCATTTTGAAATGCCTCAATCAGGTATCAGGAACTCAAGATATGTTTATTTTAACGAAGATAACGCGTGTAGAAAATTAAATACGAGTTCAGTATATAGACAACTATTTTCGTTCGACAGTTTTTCGGATTCCTTTTAGCACTAACATTAATATATATATATATATATATACACACACACTATATTTATAGTACATATATGTTATATAATATAATATAATATTTATATAGTATGTAGTATATGTATATATTATATAGTATTTATTATAGTATAGCATTAGTGTTTATGTAATACCTCAAAATTTTGGCTAGTGACCAAATGAATAAATTGAAATTTTAGTGGCCAAAGTATAAATTTGGGAATAGTTTAGGGGCCAAAATGATAATTTTCCCAAAAGATATTTTATCTCGTAAATGAATAGTTTACCCCCAAGAATGACATTTTCGTGTCACCCGAATTTTTCGTTCGGAATTTGTATTAAAAACTATAAAGTGATAAAGTTCGAGAAAAATTCAGATAATCGGTCGAATAAGATTTTTAAGATATTTTGAAGGGTGATAGGCAAGGTTAACAATGTCAATTCCATGTTTTAAAATGGTAAGAATTAACATGATTCATTGGATTTATGATTGATTTTCCATGTTAAATCGGGACCTTTGGATAAAAACGGAAAATTATAATTTTGGAAAAGTACAAGGGTAAAGTTGGAAGCTAATTAAATTGTTGGTTCATTTTTTACTTTTTCATGAACAAAATTGAGGTTTTTCATGAACTTCTCAATCTTATTCTCCCATTGTCGTGAACGACAAGAAGAAAATTTTCCTTCTTATTTTTAAGCTAAATTATTAGGATTTTGGATGAAAGCATGAAATATAAAATTGTTCTACTTGAAATTCTCTATCATTTGGTGCGATTTGTTCATGTTTTCCATGCTTGAAATCCTAAGTTCTTGAATTGGGTGGATGAAGGGGATGTTAGGTTTTGATGTTCTAAGGCTTCATTATGATGTAGTTGTTGAATCATTTCCATGCATGAAAGATGATGAAAAAATGGTAATGGTTAAATTGATATTCGGCCAAGTTAGGGTTTTAGTATACAATTGAAGTTGAATTGAATTTGATATGAGATTGATTGTAAATTCTTGGAAATGATGTTTGGAAGTTGAATTCATACTTGAATCAAGTTGGAGACCATGTATAAAGTGACCTTTCATATTTGGCCTAAGCATGGAAAATTAGGAAAAATATGGAAATATTTCCTTAAGGTTAGAAATGATGGATGCATGATTCTACAAGCTTTAGAATGTTGTTTGGACTAATTTGAAAAATGTAAAGGTCGGGGACCAAATTGCAAAGTGTAGGAAATGAAGGGTTCAATATGGAATTTGATTTGAAATTGATGTATTATGCTTGAATATATTGTTAGCATATTGAATTTGAAGTTAAATGGCAAGGGACCATTTTGAATATTATCGAAATTTTGAGATGAATTCTAAAAGAATTCATTTTAATGATTAGATTATAAGAATTTAAATGATTATGTGAATTATTCTTTGATTTTAATATTGAGGGATTTGAAGTTATAATGTGAAGTATTAATGGAATTTTGAAGTGTATTTTTGATTGAGTATCAAAAGAATTTTTATAGAATTCTTTATATTTTTACATACGGTTAAGATGGATTCTAACATATGTTTTTTTAGTTGTTGTATAATTGGATTGTGTAAACCATCCAAGTTCAATTGAGGTGAAGTGAATAATAATGAAAGGAAAAAAGCTCTTATAAAGATTTTGGGAAGAATACGTTACGGTTGACGTTTAAAATGTTGAGGTGAGTGCATATTTAGTTTGTATTTTTTAGGAAATATTGACTTGAGATGATCCAGTGACAGAGTTAGTATGGTAAGAAGTGATTCCTGAATGTTACGTGACTTTGTGATTCATGCATATATGTTCATTTTGTATTTAGAAGTTAATAGAATTTGTGAATAAGTTAAAGATATGAAAAAAAATGAAATCTGCCTTGATTCTATGATCTTGACAGCACATTTGAAAAATCACCATAAATTCTATATAAATTATTAGAAGGTGTTTCTTATACCGATGGATTTGTGTAAAATAAATAGATACTGATTTTGAATTGGGTATTAGAAGATATGATTTTTTTTATAGGTTAGAAAATTTGATAGCACATTCTGCTCAAAATAGATTTTGTAAGTTTGATTAGAAAATTCACCATAAACTATACAAGTTGAATTAGAAAGAGTGTTTTATATGGTTAGATTCAATTGAATTAGAAAGAATGCTTTATATGGTTAGATTTATATTCGAGTCTAGTTTCTAATGGTTTAAAAATAATAAAATTTAAGTGTGTAGTTTAATACATAATAATTTATTATGGGTAGTGCAAACTACCAGAATAAGAAATTGTGATAAATCATACATTTTATGTTATTTTTATGTTATATGTTATTTTAAATGTTTTAACTGGCCCACTCTATTACATTGTTATGATTATTATGATGTTTATCATATAATGGATATGATGCTTACATGTTGAAAAGAAAAGTGATTAACGATGTTTTCATAATATATATCATGTTATATGAAAATGAAATATTTTGGGTATGAACCCCCGAATGTTTTGTCACATGATATTTGTTATATATGTGTATCTATGGATATTTCTAGTATATAATGATACATGATTTTAATAAAAGTCCATTATATGTGCATTGAGAGTTATTTGTACAATTGAAATGTCATGAGGTGGAGTGATTATTGATACATATTTGTACATTCTACGAGGCACTACATGTGCATTCTATGTGGCACTATATGTGCATTATGGAAATTTATGATGTTTTGACATTGTGATGTTCCTGATCATTGGTACAGTGATGCTATGTTTTATAATACATGTACATTTATGTGACACAAATTCTGCAAATTATCTACATGTCACTTTTTAGTGTAATTTATCTAAGTAGTAATAAAACTGCATATTGCGCACACTCGTCTGACTCACGTACCTTGTATCTCATTGTTATACATTGGACTATGATTTAAATGAAATTGAAAGCTACATGTTTGATTGATTAATTGAAAGTAAATATTTCAACAAATACTCTGATTTGGTTACATGTGGTTTATATGTGAACTGTTGTTTTACATGTTTATGATGAGAGAAAGACTTTTATAAGTCTGATTCATATGTTTATATATTATTATATGATATTTTCATACTATAGTTTATGTGATATTTTACATATTGATGTACTTTACTTTAGTATTAATAATGTCTCACTAAGTATATACTTAACGTGTGATCATTTTCACGCTTAGAAAAAAGAAGATTGAGTAGAGTAAGGAGTTTAGCTTGGAATCACTTATTGAGGACTACCTATCGGTATCAGTAATGATATCCTATTGTTGTTTTTTTTTCCGTTGGCATGTATACGTATAATAAGTGTCCGCAATATTTTAAAATGGGTTAGAAGTGCTTTGATAAGTCCATGATGTTTAAATGGTTTTTAATAGTTTATATGTGTAAAATTTAGTAAATGATATATTAATGAACATGGATTTTAGTTTTATATTTGAATAAATTTATATTTTATTAGCATAAGATGAATTTTTAATTAGGTAGTTTTTAGCAAGGGTGTTCATATCCGGATTCGGATATTATCCGATCCGAAATTTTGGATATATGAAAAATTTGGATCATTAAAATCACAATTTGTATCCGATCCGAAAAAATTGGATATCCGATTTTTCTGATATCATAAAATTTGGATAAGATATCCGGATATCCGAATCTGAATATAAACTTTAATCAAAAAATTAATTTAAATTTAATATGTTGTTACATTATGTGATACATTTTATACCACTATTATATATATTCACTAAAATATGTTTTAGCAATTTCATGATAAATTATTAATATTTCATACAGTTTGAAAAACAAATAAGATAAAAAGTAAAAAAAAAAACAAATTAATAATTCATATTGATGAACACCAGAACTCATTGAATTCAATTTGGAAGGCATTAAGTCTGGGTGACTAGTGACTGTGCTTTCGGCATTTTACTTTTTACGTTGGATTAGTGGTTGGAGCACTAGGCATTTATATTTTCAGGCTAGGTACGAGCTAGTTGGCTAGGATATCTAGGCCTGGGTAAAATATTTTAAAGGCCATTTTTATCGATTTTTCGGATAATTTGAAATTAGATTTTAATCGATTCGTATTTGATTTGATTATATAATTTTTTGAATATTCGATCCGAATTATCCAAAAATTAAAAAATAAATTGGATATCCGAAATTTCGGATTATATCAATGGATTAATGGATTGGATCAGATTTTATTGCACACCCTTAATTTTTAGGCAATTTCACTCCTTATATAAAACAATATTGGACTGCCATGTTCTTGCATAAAATTAAACTTGATTTGAATATAAAAATATTATATTTTGATTTTACAC